AAAAAAAAAACAAAAAATTTTAAGTGTTATCTAGAATATTACTAAAAGTGTTTCAACAGAACGCTGCATCACTTTATATCTGAGTATTCGCTTTTATTTAGCTTAACAACTAAAACGAATAAATACTGTTTCAATTGATAGCAAGAAGGTAAAAATAACAAGTTTTTCAAATGAATTTTACAGCAATGTGAACGAAGAAACACGTTTACCTAATTTTATTTCTAATACTTCTAACTTTCAATTTCAATATTATTATTTTTTTTAAATTGTTCATCTAACAAGCGGACCAAATGTCTATCGTCTACCAGTTCGTGATCCCTTAGTAACCTCGATAATATTACTGGTGTTTGAGACAAACACTTTTTTTTTACGCAAACAAATTAGCGACAGAAAGCCATTTCTGATCGTTTTATTGGATATTAGAACTACCAACGGCTGAAGGCTAGTGTTCCCGGTACCAACTACAGTCTTGAAGAATGCCGTCTGAAAGCAGGAGCAATCGGCAACTGCTGTTTCAGGAAAGGAAAAGAAATAAAAGTATTAAGACACGGTTATATCGTTTATGAAACAAATAAATGAGAACTGTTCTTGTATCTTAATCTTTTTTCTTGATGTTCGTCATATAGTTATAAGCACTTAAAAATGGTTTTTAGAACTAATATTTCATCGTTAATTAAAAAAAAAAAGATATTAAGTTGTGGGAAAAAAACGTTCTGTCGGGACCTTCTGTGAATAACTGTCAACTCTATTTTTCAAACCTGCTATTCGTTCTTTGCTGTAAAATTAGTGAAATATCACAGTTAGCTATAAAGAGTATCTTTTACAATAAATTATCTAATTATTATTATTGCAAAACCTGCTTCTAAAAAAAGCATTTTTTTTAGCTTTATATGTTTTATCAATCATTACCAGCAAATATCGAAGAATGAAACTTGTCAATATTATATGTCTTGAAAACAAAAGTAAAATAGTTACCCATAAATTTTTTCCAAAAGCTTTTGGCACGATGAAGATGAAAAAAATGTTTATCAGTTGAGCAAAGCAAATTATAAATCCTTGTATCAGCTGCAATCAAACAAGGAATTAAAAAACTGCAAAAAAAGAAGCCTTTTTTTAGTTCAGAACAAAAAAATTTTTTAGCATAGCACCTTCTGCTGTATCAGTTAACATCAGTGCTTACCAAGTAAATTTCTGGACCTGTACCTTGAGGTTCACTGTGCATTCTCCGTTTTTTTTTTATTGAAACCACAACAGTAACGTAACCAACGATCATAACAACAAGTATGATCATCGTAAAAAACAAAAGAATAGCTTGCAAACCGATTGTGGAAAATATTAGACAATTTCCACAGTTGTAGGTGAATTGAATAGAGAAAACATTAAACCTAAAAACAAGAATTTTGTGCTTAAAAACCTGTTTCGAACATTTTGAGAGTTATTTAAAATTGTTAAAAAATTGCATGTACAAAAAAAACAGATTTCTTTTAGGTTAATTGGAGAAAAAATTGATAAGGTAAACAAGATAATAGGATTCTTTGTTTACCATTTGTGGCATCCAATAGAGTTTGAGACGGCAACAATAGCAGCACCAATAAGCCATGAAATGGAGCACCAAATTATTGCATACTTCACTAAAACTTTGTGTATTGAAGGTGACAAAAATACTGATATACGTTCAAAAGCTATTAGGCAGTTGATTGCAGCTCCAGCGTATAAACCAAACGTATCCGGCCAAGAAAGCCATATTGTCAGACGATCAGTGAAATACGGACACTTAGTTATAGTACAGGGTATCGTAACGACAAAAGTTGGTAACAAATAGATAAGCTGCGTAATGTTCAGAAAGTTCAGAAGTTCGTATGCAAAAATCTTCCTGGTACTATTTACAGAATAGACTGTAACGGTGACGATAAGTATTACCACTAAAGAAAATACTGCAATTATTGTGAAGATAATGCCAAAGAGAACACGGTTTTCATCCACATGATTCACCTTGGTTACACACTTATCATTAGGGTCGAACAATTCGTATACTAAATGAGATTCTAGACTACTGCCATTCATTGTACTGGAGTAATCATAAAATTTACACCAACGATAATGTCTTGATTTCTCGTTTTAAAATTCAAGATTCATCGTGTAGGTGTTCTCAACACACAGTTCAGCCATTTAAGGTAAGCAACCATTTAGACGAATGTGAAATAATTAAAAGCTCGTAGTTTTCGCAGTATCATAAAGCACAATTTTGGCTGATAAAGTTCCTAAAAATAAATGATAATCTGTTTAAGCTTATTACAAATATGTCAAGCGGTGATAAACAATAACGCATAGTCTATCATATTTTCTAACTGGTAAAGACACTTTTTTTCTTACAATGACGTATGTGACAGAAAAATAACAGACTTCATTAGCGTAGAAAACAAGGTTTGAAATTGTTAACTTCTAAACCACACAATGAAATTACTGAAATACAAATTGATATTTTAAAATAACGGTTTTAATGCTTTGTTAATTAAAGAAAAATCAATTAACAAAATGTAAATTGATTTTAACTTTCAATTATATAAATGTCGATTTCGTACCCAGTTGTTCAAAACAAGTAGAAAATGGCACTTTATAAAAAAATATACTTCTGAAAGAAATAATGCAAAAGAAGAATGATAACAATTTAACTACTAAGTTTTTAGACAATTTTTAGGTGAAAAACAAAGATGACTTATTCTCTCGTTAGTACAGAATACATTCATTTTATTTACGATGCTATATTCGCCTCGACTGTACAGCAGCAAAACTTGGCAAAAAATTTTCAAAAATTTTAAAATAATTTTCAGAATTTTTTATCGAAGAGCTAAATGGTAGGCAATGTTTTTTAGACGTATTATAAACATCAAAAACCTTTTAAGTCTAAAGTTATCTATTGTAACGATCATTTTTCAACTTCATGTTGACCTGTTTCAGAGTTCTTTAAATTAATTACTTTCTCCGCAGTAAAAGTAATTTTTGCAAGACTTTTTAATAATATTTTTATATAATTTTTTTTACATATATTCATATTTGAAGTTATTGAATAAAATAAAATTTTCGTTGCAAAATTGGCTTTTTATAAAATGGACAGTTACTAAAGTGTGCTAAAAACTTTCAACACGCTTAAAAAAGTAGACTTTTACAAATTAAAAAGAACTTTGAAAATGATAACGGTGATTGGCTATTAGCTAAACGCTGATAAACTATTGACAGCAGTCAGCTGGAAAATGAATAAACCTTTTGCCTAATCATTTGTTTGATACCTAAATTTTTATCACCCAAAAAAATTGTTTAAAATTATCCTATTTTCAAAGCATAAATATACCATATTTTTTTAGGCCGACATAAATACCGCAGCGCATATTTTGCAGCAGCATAGGCAACCAAAAATTTAACACTGGTATTAGTAATTCTATTTTTCCGCTTAAATATATGCCTAAGTGCGACTAATTGAAAAAAATAACGAAGTTATTGCCGTTCTATCAAAAAAAAAGTACAAATTTCACTTAAATAAGGTAAAAAAAATAATAGTAAATAAGATTAAAGCTGCAATAATGACAGTCATATGGCAAATTTATTTTCTTTTTTATTGCTGCACTTATGTAACTGCATAAAACATTTTTCAAATAAACAAATTAGATGTACCTAAAAATCAGACTGTTTAATTATCTACAGATACTTGAAAATAATTGGCAAAGAAAACATACTTAACGTTTATCAACTATGAAAATATTTTGAAAATGAAATAAAAATTTTTGTAAGATGTAAAGAATAAAAAGCTGAGTGTAAATTAATTTGGCGACTTTGTCTGGTAAAAAAAAAGTTTACTGTTCATTGAACGTCAAGCAATCATCGAAGTTTGTTAAGTTTTATTCATTTTTACCGCTTTTCAAAAAAAAAAAAAAGTTTTATCAAACTGCAGATTACTCATTAGTTACAGCAATACAGCTGTTTTTATAAAGTGAAAAGATCGGCGTGAAAAAGACATCTAAAGGTTCAAAAAAATCAACATTTTACATTATTTACCATAATCGTCATCTTTACTGACATATTATGCGTCAGAAATGCAATACAACATTAGCAAATTCATTGAATTATCATAGTTTCTTAGTGAAAATTAACGGCTTGAGTAAATAGAAGGCAATATGACAATGAAAATAATTGAATTTTGTTTGCAAAAAAAAAACTGACAAAAAGAGGTTGAGTAACTGATTGCAGTAAAAATAAGTTTTATTCTTTGTAAACTTGGTAATTTTTAACTGTTGTATAACAGACTGTAACTGCTACAATAATGATACTTTAGACGGACCACAGATCAATCCTGTCATTAATTAGACTAAATTCTATTGACGTAAATAAAGAAGAATTTAAAAATTGGTTTATGTAGAACAGTTTATTTGGTCTTTTTTTTTCTTATGCTCAGATTAATTTATCGGCTTGTACTTAGCAAAAACCAATAAATTCTATTAGCAATTATTACTAGTTCCCTTAATTGAATTTCTTCTGTACTTTTGCTAGTTTATTTTCGTTGTATAATAACCTACATTCTTCTGAAAAAAGTTTTACATTTTATGAATTATATTCAGTTGATAAAAATTATTTTTTTTAAAAAAAATGTCATTGTACAAACATATGCTAAAAGAAAAAAGTAGTTGCTATATTTAAAGTTTATAATAGTAATCAAAAAGATTAGAAATTTTTTTAAAGAATTCTTTAAGGCAGTTTCTTTGGTAAATTCAGCTAGAAAAGTTTGCTATTTCTACCGAAAGAAACATAAAAACAAATGAACGT